AAATATTATCAGAACTGGAGGAATTAGCGGTGAAAAGGAACAACTGGATTATAATCCTTGAAATGGTAGGAGTCTATTTTGTTTATTTCGAGGTTTATTTCGTGTTTGCTGTACGAATACATTTTATGACCTTGGTACAGTATGTCGTTTTGCTCGGTTTTGCGAAGACGTGACCCACTATTTAAGGCTTTACATCATCGTTTTAACTTCCAAAAGAGTCCTTAAAAGTGTAATTCGGAGTTTTAATATAACAAATATCACTTTAAAGGTTTATATATAGTCGACTGCAATCACTGCATGAATTTAATAATCGAAAAACAACATTCGACGTTCACTGCTTGGTTATTTATATTATTTGGGCTGTTTTGATGTTTTGAAGCTTTAGCTATAATGAAGTATTAACTCTCAATTAAACTGTGAAAGTCTATAACTTAATGCAACGGAAAGCAGCAGGAAAACGGGTGATTTCACTTCACCTTTACGACTGTGCTTGTTTCCGAAATATTTGAAACATCAGCTATCGGCTTTACATTTAGGACATTTCATAATATTGAAGGTTAGGTCTGGCTAGCTCAGGAAATATTTTGCTTCGTTTGAAATGGCGAGGGGTTGCTGCATGCATGTATTTCTAGTAATTTTATATAACGTTGCACTCAGCTATTGTATAGAGATCAGCTGGAAAAAGCGAGCGCGGGGGGTGCTTGCAACGCTTACTACTTTGCGCCTGGGTACGAGGTTGCCTCGTGGATAAGAACCTTGTTTTCATCGTCGTAATATATTGTGATAAACATGACACCATTTTGTTGTGATGGTCTGGGAACAAAGCGCTAGTAAATTATGTTTTTGGACAATTTATCGCCATCCTGATATGGTTGATTCAAATATGATCAGTTCTGGCAGACTTAATCTTGACGTAGGTGGGTGAAGTATAATGAATAATGTCAATGACAATGTCTGTTTCGACCCTTGGTCCAAATATTAGGCATTTCAACTATTATATACATGAGGAAATATTTTGCAACAAGATAGGTGAAAATTTGAAAACGTTCTAATTTACTTTGAAGAATTATTTAAACATCGTTAATTGGTATAACAAACAATCATTTGAGCGAGTTCGTAATTTGCATGCCACTTAATCGCAAAGCAGGGTTTATATACATGTTTATATACAGGGTTTATATACAGGGTTCATATCCCTTTTGGTTGTCATGATCAATTCCAAGGAATTTTTTTTGCATTGTGGAAACCCTTTCGCAAAGCTTGATTTCGAAACGAATTAATATAGCTAATAGAAATCAGCGTATACCCAAGAAACAAGTTGGCGCCATGCATGGAAGTGCAAATTTTTACGAATAGCGAATATCCATAATAGAAAGTATATACGAATAGCGAATATCCATAAAAGCATTCTTTTGGGACTGCGACAATTACGGGGAAGATTATAATGGCTTTTGACGCGGACTGCACTGAAAACCATTTTAAAAATACCGTATATGTCAATGGAAAGCTTTCGATTCGAGAAACATGTATATTTGCCTATCGTATTCGCTAATATGGCAAATGGCACTCTCTATTTAATATTGGTTATGATTTTTTTACCAATTTCACTTATAAAGTTTGAGTTTGTGTTTCTTCGTGTTAACGAAACTCGCTATATTGTTTTGTATATAAAAGAATATGTGCACCGTTGCCGTATAACGTCTTGCATGACTTACAGAAATCTAACAGTTTCAGGTGCATGTGAAACTATTTCCCAGAATAGCCGATAGTTGCATGTTTTGAAAATGAAAAGATATTGTGCCCTTGACGGGCTTCGCTACAATGCCTGCATAAGGAAATATACAAGTGCTTTTGGCACAGCCCTGAATGACACTCAGACATTTCGTGACATAAAAAAGCCGTTTCTTCGTCTCAAGGAAATACTTCCCGCTTGTAAACACGCAAGTACATGCACGAAAAGGCATCTGAAAAATCAGGTATGTATTTATACTCAAGAAGTCTGAAGGCGGTTTCTATATTATAAGGGTTTGATTTTGGATTTCTTTCAAATATTGCAGTCTGTGCCGGTTGGATATAGTGTTATGCAAAAGCAATTATCAGAGTGCGTTCGCAGTATACGCATATATTTAGGCTATATAAAGTATTGCACCAGGTGTTCCTTATAGTCCTTACTAAGTCCAAATAACGCAGTCAAATAACAGATGAGAAAATTTTACGCGAGCGGGATCCAGTATGATTTCAGCACTATATAATTGGAAATGATCTGCACTTAAACAATTTGAAACTCGCTGTTGCTTTCTGCATCAATCTTAGCTTTCTTGCCATACTTTACTTTATGCATCGTGTTTCAACTTGTTGTACGGACCAGTACACTAGCAGATTGCCTGCATCGTTTTTATTTAGTGGAGACTGATGATGCATGAGTGTCTGAAGATGTCAAGGTGGCTGATGTGATATAGAATATCTATATCTGTGCGCAGTAGACAATGACCGATTTGAATGCGGAAAAAAGGAAAAATATACACCCGCACTATATCTCATTGGTGAAAATGACTTGCTGTTGACAATTACGACTAAACGTAAACAAGGTTAAATCGGCTAAAGTTTTAAAGGTAAGACTTTGTCAGGTGATAACTTTCATACGTAGGGTCAAAATTGAAATATTTTGCTGAAGAAAAAGTCTTGTAGCTATAGCTTAGCTGTACACAAAATACCCGAATCAATATCAAAACTATATTTAGAACCGTTGTTCAGATCAGTTATGATTCACGAGGACCCGGGTTAGAATTTAACACACACACATGCCTGTTACACTTCCTTATTCGTTCGTGTATTTGTATGAATAATCCATTTATGATTGATTCATCTGAATGGTAGAGAAAATTAAAATTGATATCCGTAGCACTAGATATAAAGATAATTAAAACTGGACCTTGGTTGTACGGGCATGTGTAAGTACTGAAGATTAGCTACATTTTTTTTGGTCAAATTTGAAATTTGTGGAATATAAATTCAGAAGTGATTAGTATTATCACCCGATATACATGCATGCACTATAACCCCTCGCCAATTTGAACAAAACAACCAATTTCTTAAGGTGGCTAACTCTTAGCCTATGGCTATATAATTATTATGACATGTCTCAAATGAGTCGCAGCTGATATTTCTATGATTCGGAAACAAAAGTAAACATCACCCGTTTTTCTGCTGCATTAAGCTGCCATTTAATGGTCTCTTTCAGCTTTAAGAAGTTTTGGTTAAAAATTCAACCTTTAAAACAATAGAACAGTACAAAATCTTTCAAGGACTTCCTATCAAATGGTCTTCGAATATTCATGCATATATTATCCGTGAATATTAGCCTTGAAGTCATGAAGTGACATTTTGCTTTATTTTTAGCGAATACGGAATAAACAAAATAGACATACCTAGTATAGTAAGCTCTTGGTAGCTCATATAGATTATACATCGTTCTTGTAAACTATATTTGTGCTTTTGTAAAAATTTTATTATCAAAAAATAGTTGCGAAACGACAGTTAATAAATTATTTTCTGACGCTCTAAATAAAACACAAACATTCCTTCTTTCAGGATGTTGATTACCAATTTTTACTCGTTTACTCGTTACCAATTTTTACCCCTGTCAAAATATACCCGCGTGTAATAATATGTTTTAATTATTAATATTAATGTTTAATAAATTTTCTCAAGCAAATTAGCCCCTATCTATGGTTTGATAATGGAAACAGGGGGACTCTAACAAGCAACAGGACTAAGATCTTAAAGGTCTCTATAATAGTATACAATAAACTCTGATGGTACATTTCAGTGAAATATAGTGAAGTCATTTCAATGAAGTCTTTCGTCCTAATAGTGATAGAGACATCATACAATCTCAGGAATAGAGAAACTGATTTAGCACCACCTATGCCAAAAAAGGAATTTGGCAAGAGGTGGTTTAGTTATAATGGTGCCCTGCTTTGGAATAATCTTCCACCTCAGGCTAAAATTGCGAAATCTGTGATTTCCTTTAAATCTATATTAAAAAAATGAGTTGAAACTGACTTGCCTATGTTTCGTACTTATACTCCTGTATTTTGTTTGTAACTGTATCTGTTTCTGTTTCATGTCCTTAATTTCCTTGTCCTACGTCCATGTAATTTTGTAGCTTCATTTTTTTTTAAATATCACGCCCCTCATTGAAATCAGTCAGCCTAATGACTGCTGAGGCTAGCGTGACGAAATAAAGTCTATGTATGTATGTATGTAAATATAATTTTTGCTTAGTCCTTCGGCAAAATGCAATAGCCTTTCTGTTCCACTTTTTTCCCTGCTTTTCCTTCCCAATAGAGGAGGAACGAGATTATCAATATTCCGATGGAGAAAATTTTACTAATTTGCAGGATTGACCATAATCTTTTTAAATTCGTGCTAAATCACTCTCTAAGCTCCGCATCCTCGTGACCTCGACCCGTGACAAATTCAAGGAATTTGAAATTACAAGCAAAGAAGCAATGCTAACATGCATTTGGTGTGGAAATGAAAACGTAATAAAAGAATACGATTATGAATATAAAAGATATTTCATGTCATTTTCACTCAACGAAGGACAAATTATTGAATATTCTACACTCTTTCGAGCACTTGCAATGATGGCGTCTCACAAAAATAGTCCGGCATTATATTGCATCAGGCTTTAATTAGGATGAGTTATACAAATTCTTGAACTTTAAAAGTCTCGTCGCAGGAGAAAGGTCTTAACCCACCACACACGAGATCTAACAGCTGAGCTAATAACCTCGCGAGGTGGTTAATTAGCTCAACCCGAAATCCGGGAGCAGACGAGAGAATTAAACTTACCTTTCGAGGCGAATTCCTCACGAAAACTATCCGCGCACAAGGTAAAGTTGCTAAGTAAGAGCCTCGCGAGGTCTTTATCTCAGCTAATTAATAACTAATTTTATTCCCATCTTAGTATATTTTTTTACTCTTTTTTTAAGACCTTGCCATATGCATACTCTTGAATAAAGGAAGCGAAGAAGACATATTCCCAATAAGGTCGTGAAATGGATCAAAAGGAATGCACCATGATGAAAGTAAGGGTAAAGCTTCTTTTTCCGTTTAGAAGATTAAATTTTCATGGATTCAGGTTTGTATTTCCTAAAGGTAAGTCACTTGAAACGACTGTACTAATGCAGTTTTGTATTTCAAATGTTTGTGTTAAACCGTTGTTTTATTCATATATAGTATATGCTGATAATTATTTAACTAATCAAACATGTTGTTTGTTTTAGCTACGTCTCTGATCTGTTTATATATTGCATGATTTTTGTCTGGAAGGGAAGACATTGATTTGATGCCTCTCCGAAAGTTTTTTTGACTTTCATCTGCCAGACTTTGAGTTCCAAGGGAAAGATTGAATCTCAACATGAAAATAGTTTGTTTTTTGCGAGTTTTTGCAAACTATGTCATAATTCTTGTTGTAATTGAATCTTAAATTTCTTGGAACATCTTCGCGATGTTTGTGCAAATTGCTCAAACTCATCGCAATGCGCTTATGTTAAATTTGTTCTTAATTCATTGCATGCTTACTGCTTACTGATCAGTGTATGGCCCAGTTTATACGTCGTATTTTGGTCGCGTCGAATGCAATTCAAACAATAGATAATTAGGTGTTAAAGAGGTTTAAATCTTATTATGTATTGTTTGAATTGCATTCGATGCGACCAAAATGCGACATATAAACTGGGCCTAAGAGTTGACCACATGCAATTTCACGATTGTTAATTATTTCCTTTTTTTCACCGATATTTCAGATATAGACGAGTGTAAGAATGCGACACTGAATAATTGTGGTGAAGGGTTCGATTGTGTCAATACTCCTAGTTCATATATATGTGTTTGCAATGGAACGATACTAAATGGAGAATGTGATAAAGGTAAATAATTATAACAAACTATTAAGGCCATTTGTGGAAATTCGCACACTCGCCTAGCTGCACTACTGCTCGGCTAGGCCTATATAATTATATACACTTACATCCGTTTGGTATATGAAAATAACTTTTTCTATTTCAGATGTTAAACGATATCTTGTTCAGTTAACAATAAAACAAAGCTATACAGCGGCGCTTTGCAATGCAAGCTCTCAAGAGTTTAGAAACTTGAAGACTAGGATAGAAAACGCGGTTTGTTTAGTTTATATTGTATGTTTTTGCAGCATTTTGAATAATTTTTTTGAAACCAAAGCGAGTCTTCCCTGAAATCTGATTGGTTTTAGCAGCTGTGAAGTACTGGTATTTCACCAAACCGCAGTTAAAGGTCCTATGTCTAATTTGAATATAAGGCGCAGACTGAAAAAAAAAACACAAGAAATTTTGTTTGTCACCTAATAATATTTCAATAATATTTCACCAGCTAATGATATTTCAAAAATTTTCCCGCTCAGCGCCAGCATCAAGCCCCTGGCGGTGGAAAACAAGAAAATCAAAAAAAAATTTTCGAGGCTTCCATTAAGTGATCAATTAAAACCTCTGAATTTTAGACCGTGACAGTATTCAACAAAACGGGCAACGAAAAGTATTTAGACGTTGAAGTAACCAAGTTCAGTCAGTAAGTTCAATCAGATTAAATAAGACTGAATAGTTTTTTAAATTTTATTGATTGTGTTTCTTGTATTTTAAATTTGTTCAATTTCACTTTTTCTTTCATTTAGACTCACCAGCTCTGGAAGCATTATCGCGGATATGGGGATGTTTTTCAGAAAAAAAGACGAAACTGGCATAAAGGAGCTGCTAGCTGCTGTACGAAATAACTCATTTGGTGATTTTGATGTCGATCCTGACGCTCTTCAAGTTCTTAGAAATGGTAAGACAATAAAATCTCATCATATATTTCAGTATAATATATGCTTGATTAGAGAACCCTCACCACCACCCTGACTGGTTTCTTAACGCCGTGCGCCAAATTAGTTCATATAAAGTAATCATTGTATTTTTCTTGATTGATACAGGCACATGTCCCCCAAATGGTCCTGTTATCTGCCCCACCCATTCAACATGTGAAACGTTGACGGAGAGTACAATTAAATGCCGTTGCAATGATAGATATTACTTTGACGGTGTCGAATGTATAGGTAAAATATATGAATTTAATTTTCAGCTTTGGTATAAAAAGAGGAAAATTTTCTAAGCTAAGCGTTGAGGGAATTGAGAAAAACGAAAATACAGAGCTACAGTTTGGCAAGTTTTTTGTTTAATAATAAACATGCATTACAAGGGATCCAATACCAAAAAATATTTTTCTTTAATTTTGGATAACATCAAAGTTTATCCTTCCTATATTACTAAGCAGGTTGTTCAGAGGGAAAAAGAGTTGTATGAAAGTGCAGTCACCATAATTACGAACACCAGACATACCAAAAGATGGAAATTGGAAGATTTTTGTAGACACGTGCAAATAACCACGTTTTAAACTCTATAATAGGGCAAGGGAATTGCATTTGCTTCGTTGCCTAAATCATTGCCTATAGGAGCTTGTGAATCTAAAAATAATGAGACTTTTGCAATAATGAAAGTTTGGCAGACTATAAATATCATGCCCAAGGAGTGACGTTATGCGGTAACAAGCAAAACAACACAAATGCGAGCGGAATCGATATGATTGACATCCTGATCGATTTTGTAATGTTTGGACTTTTAAAGAATTAATGAAAGCAATTATATTATTGAATTTGGTTTTCACGTGATATAAAGAATTGCGGCAATTAATTCATCATAAATTATATTAACTTTGGCGGGCATTGTGGTGTATTTTGCGGGCTAAAATTATAAATTTCCTGGACTGAAATATATTCTAAAAAGCTCGCCGATCTAAGCCAATCAGACGAATGACTAAAGTGTTTAACTACTGCATGATTTTTTATACAAAAATTGCCCTTTTAAGTTATTGCCCGTTCAGTAAAGTATAATAATAATACAGTTGATGTTCTTTGGCATAAATGTGTTTTTGGCCCTTCTCAGAACACATTTTGACACTCGCTACTCTAAAATGAGTTCTGAGTCGGACCAAAAACCCATTTATTCCCCCGAACATCAACTCTATTGTTATACATATTATCAAGTTTAACCTCGTTCAACAATCATGAAGAACTAGCGTAAGAGTATATACATAAGTATTTTTAGATATTGGTAAATCGAAAGTCGTAAATCTTTAAACTATAAATAGATACTTCCATTGAGCAGTTTTTCACATTTAACGATGTATTCACTCTAGAAAGCGTCGTTGTAACAGTTGATGTAACTTTGGATCGTGAGTTTACTAAAGCGTTGAATAATGATACCTCAGTCGAATACGAGGAGTTAAAAAAGAATATCACGAATCAGGTAAATTTGACAAAGCGGGTTTTGTAGCTATTATCCTCCTTTTCAAGAATTAGAAAAATGCCGTATAGAGAAACCGAATAGCAGGTTAACAAAAATATATGCTGAAAGAAAATCAAAGTCAGTTGACAAAGCATATAGGGCAGCGCGTACATGGACATGGAGATTGAAGAAGACACATTTTGTATAAATTTTGCTCCATTTACTACGATAGATCTTCATGGCTCTTGCAGTATCTTCTTTATAATTATAGGCCTGCACGACTTCACCATGGCGAACGATATAATTTGATATTCATTACTTTTTTAATGCAAAATGCTTACACTTTTTTAATGCAAAATGCTTACAGGAGATTTATGCTGCATGTGACACGTGCGGCTTCGCTTTGGCAGATAACATTGAGCTTGGTCTGAATAATTCTTGATATCATGAGCTGAGCTCAGCATGAGCTGAGCCTCATCCAATAATTGTTTTTTTTTAATTCTAATTCATACATAAGGCCTTCGAATGTTACTATAAAATAAATTGAGTGAAAAAAAACCCCGGATTTTTTCCGGATTTTTTTTGTACTCGCTTGAAAAAATTATTCATTATCAATCTCATTATCAATCAAGCCAGTTCAACTATACAAAACGTATATAGAAATTTGAACACATGCGGTCAGTTGGTCGAACGTAGAAACGCGTGGGCAACATCCAGGGCAACGGCAATTTTAGGTGTTGTACTTTTGCTGTATTTCATAGTAGAATAAAGAGGCCATTATTGTTGAAAGTTAAATGCGAATGAATTTATATGCAAATCACCATGTCGGAAATTGCTGGTAATGACGACTATAATAATATATAAATAATTTGTTATAATGATCTAATATTAAAATGATCTGATTCGTTAGCTAATCGAGACATTTAAAGATACCCCAAACTTTGAACGCGTGGAAGTCACGGGATTCAGGTAAAGTAGCCATGCATGCATGTATATTTTTGAAAAAAATGGGTGATCGATAAACGTATATTTTCTTTCCAATTTTTTCTCTGAACCTTGGTATATTAATATTCCAAGTAAAATTTTCAAAACAAAGTTTAATCACCATGTCCTTTGATGCATGCAATGCTCGCATGAGTCCTTGTCAGCTTTTGAAATTTTCACTTGTGTTTTCTTTCATACTTTACATAGGAACGCGTCTATTGCAGTAGAATTTGTGGTTCATTACCGAAAAGACCCAGATATGAATCAGAAAGTTGTCGTTGGCCAAACATTGAGAGAAAAGGTTATTAAAAAGGGAAAACTTGGAGAGTACAAAGTTAAAGGAAAAATATTGATACAAGGTAAATTTAAGGAAGTTAAATTTTGTTTCCATGTGAAGAATGAATTGTGATCCTAATTGCTCTTATAGGTTTTCCTAATGAATTATTTCAGCTGTATAGGCTAAATTTTTATCTCAGCAAGAAGAGACAACGAGTACGTGAACGCAGATGGACAGAGCTCTTTAGAATGACAAAATCTGCAGTGAATCTAATTTAAAGTGGAAATCATATACATAAATTTAGTTCAAGCTAGAAATATCTATCGGTCCTCCGGCAGGAATGAAACCTACGCTTTTTGCAATGCTGGTGCAATGATAAGAGTGCATGGGCTGCATTAAAAAGAGTTAATTAAGATCTTTAATCCTTTAGAGTTTATCCAGCATCAGGTAAAGTGCCACAAATCGTATAGTCGATTTTAAATACCTTCACATTCTCGCACGCATTATACAATCGTAAAAACACCAACCACCACCGTTCTTGTCTGTTCAGTTGCAAAGCATTGCGACGGCATCGCAAATCCGTTTGATTCCTGCCGGAGGACCGATCGATTGTTGACTTCTCAGCCTTTCCAGGCTTGAACTTCGGTTGTGTATGATTATATTTCCGCTTGAAATTAAAAATTTATCCTACATCGGATATGCCACAAAATCGTAATCGTATTCATTTACCCAAACCATGGCCCATTCTTTTATCTAATAAATCACAGGCCACGTTATACAATCTTGTTCACTATTTTCACTAAATCCCAGGCCATAATGCTGTACGCACGCATTTCTTGGGGCACTAAATCCCGCCAAAATCAAAACAAAATATCGCCATTTTGGTTTTTATAGTACCCAAAGAAATGCACGCACGCACAGTATCATGGGTTTTAATAAAAATAGTGAGTAAGATTGTATAACATCTTAACCACATTGATCGGGCTGCTTATGCCCAGTCCTATTCGTAGGCATTGCCATCGTGAATACACACCAACCACGCTTGTTCTTGTCAGCTATCTCTTGCACCAGCATCGCAAAGGCGTACATTGTTCCTGCCGGACACATTTTCTGTATTTTTCGGCATGGTTTGAATTTGAGATCACTTTCAATCGAAATTAATTGTATTCATCCTGCAATTGAGTAAATCCTATATAGCTTAGTTCTCGTAGAGTGCATTTTGGAAAGAACACCCCTTAACTCCGGGGGGGATTCACGGGTTCTCACACAATGTGAGCTTTTTTGTATAGTTACGCTACTGATTCATTCAAATAATGGAATGAAATACAAAATGGAGAAGGTATTAATGAAAGGTTTGGTTATTATATTCCTTGCAGAACCACCTCCTCCACCAAAGGACCTTAAGATTACTAAAACCACACAGAAAAGCTTTGATATCGCTTGGAAAAAGACCCGCACGGACGAATTTTTTACTATCGATTACATAGTGATGTACAAAGAACAATCTGATTCAAAATACCAGGAAAAGGTAGTACCGTCGGGCATCCTTAACGTAACATTGAATGATCTGAAAACTGGTACACTTTACGACATCACAGTGCACGGGTATAATGCCTATGGCCGTGGAGAAAAGATTGAAATTGAAGAAAAGACAGAGGAGGGTAATTATTTCGCTATAGTGTGGCCTAATTTCAACCGAAAAATCTCTAATTGAGATTTGCATACATTCTTATTCTGCGTTGAAAGCCACCCGCACGAGAGTTGTTAGCTGAGCTGCGCTAATGGTAGCTCACCTCCACAATGATCTCATGTGTGGGTAGCTTTTTTGATAACTTCATCTCGTGGGGAAAACAATTATTATCGCATGACACAAATCTCAACATATGCGAACGGGCTAAATAAGATGATACTAAGCTGCGAGCAAAGAATACTCAATAATAACACGTACAGTTTTTCTACGTGAAAGAGCGACTCAATTGCATGGTTGCTGATCAGTGCAAGATTTGCCGACATTCACTAATGTTGCTGCCTCTAACTGTTTCTTTTTTTCACTGTTTTTTCAGATGTAGACGAGTGTAAGAATGCAAGACTATATAATTGTGGTGAAGGGTATGATTGTGTCAATACCCTTGGCTCATATGAATGTGATTGCAATGGAAGGAGAGAGGGTGCAGAATGTGTTAAAGGTAAAACAACAATTCAAAGAACGTTAACTTCAGCATTCAGTGCAAAGGCTATTTATTTGTTTGAAGACGTTCATTCGCCTGCTACTGCTCGACCAGGGCTATATATACACATTTATCTGTTTGCTTACTCTAAAAAATAACGGAAATACCCTTTTTAATTTAAGGTTTTATACGACATCGCGTTCAGTTAACGATAAAACAAGACTATACAGCGATCCTTGGCAATAAAAGCTCTCAAGAGTTTAGAAACTTGAAAACAAGGATAGAAAACACGGTTTGTTTAGCTAATATTCCATATTTTTGCAGCATTTTGAATAGTCTTTTAAGACTGATGGAAAATATTTTTTTCTATCTGAAACGAATTTGCAAATCAGGAGCGGGCTGAATACGAGTCTTCCCTGAAATCTGAAATCCCCGAAATTTTACCAACACCGCAGTCAAACGTCGCACGCATGCCCGAGAAAAACTTTACCTATAATCGAGAAAAACTTTATCTAATTTGCATAAAAGGGCTCCGGCCGCAGCCTAGAAAAAAGACAAAAAGGAAGAAAATATCTAAGTAATCAAGGAAGATAATTTGTGAGACAAAAGAAAGTTCCCCCCTCGTAGTTTTGTTTATAGTGACTGGAATACATCCATTCAATTTAATTTGAAGTTATCAATTTGAACCTTGAAATTTTAGATGGTTACAGTATTCAACAAAGCAGGCAACCAAAAATATTTAGCAGTTGAAATAACCAAGTTTAGGTAAGGTCTTGATTTTATAGGTAAGTGCGATGCATGGGGAGTTGAATTCTGTCTTAGAATAGGAATAATTGAAAACGTTTTATGAAAATATTTTGAGGGGCTGTAAATGCAGTTTTATTTAGTGATTCTATCTGGGGTATGCATCAGGAGTTATTATATAATAACTACAGTGAAACGTGACGCAATTTGATTGGTTCGTAGGCGTTCAGTATGAGACAATCCTGCACTGATAGCTTACATTGTAGTTATTTTATAAAGAAAAATGGCTACGGCTTGTGCTTTTTCACGCTTTTCAAAAGTCTCGCAATTTCACGCTATCCTGTACGGAAAACCATTTAGTATTCCTTTAATCCAACTTCAGCGCATTATTGTGCGTATATTGCGCCTGTCACGGAGCATAATTTTAAATAGCTAGATTAGACTTTAAGTTATTGAAGGGCATATTTTTCGGAGAAAACACAAATTTGATTTTGTAAAAGCCATTTTACATTCGACTGTAAAATCCACGTCAACGGTATCAACTAGGAACAAATAATCAATATTAGATTACCAAAAGGCAATCATAGCGCGAAAGTAAAATATTATTTAGGGGACTTCTATTTGCACATTTTCTTCAAATGTTTTTCAATTTTTTTTTAAATGTCCGAAGCCTCATTCATTAAAAATAGCCTTATATATTTTATATAGTAATAATTTCAATATAATTATAATAATTTCACATGTTTCATTCGTTTAAACTCACCAGCCCTGAAAGCGATATCGCAGATATGGAGGTGCTATTTAGACAAGGAGATAAAACTGGCATGAGGGAGCTGCTAGCTGCTGTACGAAATAACTCATTTGGTGATTTTGATGTTGATCGTGACGCTCTTCAAGTTGTTATAACGGGTACGGCGTAAAAATCGAATCATATATAAATCAGTATTATATGCTTGACTAGAGAACATGACCACCCCCTGACGGGTTTCTTAATCCCAGTCGTGCGACAAATTAGTTTATATATGGTACTCATTGTAATTTATAGGCACATGTCCACCAAATGGTCCTGACATCTGCCCCACCCATTCAACATGTAAAACGTTGACGGAGAGAACAATAAAATGCCCTTGCATTTCTGGATATTACTTTGACGGTGTTGAATGTATAGGTAAAATAAAACAAGCTTTCGTACTAGAAGAGGATTTTTTTTTAACCCAAGGGTTAAGGGAATTAAAAAATTCACGAAAATAATAATAAACATGCATCTAAAGAGCTCAATGCAATACCAAAACTGGATAGCATTAAACTTTATCTTTCCTATATTACTAAACAAGTTGTTCTAAGCAAGTAAAAAAGAGTTGTGTAAATGTTCAGTCACTATAATTACGAACACCAGACACCACAAATGATGGAAAATGGACGATTTTTATAAACATTACAACTAACCAGGTTTTAACTCTGGATTATTGAATTATTGAATTTTGTTTTCACATGCATGATTTAAAGAATTGTGGCAATTCTTCATATCACGTTTTAAGCTTGGTCAACAATCGTTAAAAATAACATAAAAATATACAGATTCTAGATGTTGATAAATCGGAAGTGGTAAATATTTAAACTGTGCATAAATAGATATAGCCATTGAGCAGTTTTCATAGTAATTAACGGTCAATGTTTTCCACTCTAGAAGAAACGTCGTTGTAACAGTTGTTGTAACCTTAGATCGGGTGTTTACTAAAGCGTTGAATAATGATACCTCAGACGAGTTAAAAAAGAATATCACGAATCAGGTAAATCTGACAAAGTGGGTTTTGTATTATCCCCCTTTTCAAGAAGTAGAGAAATGACGAATTGAGAAATCAAATGGCACGTTGAAAAAAATACATGCTGAAAGCCAATCAAAATCAGTTGACAAAGCATAGGGCAGCGCGTACATGGAGAGTAATTACAGAAAATTTTCCTTTTTTTATGAGTTTTGCTCTATTTACTACGATAGATTTCATAGTTCTTGCAGTATCATCTCTATATTTAGCCCTGCATGTCATTTATGACTTTTTAAATTAAAAATGTGTATAAATGTGTGTCTATAAGTATTTTTTAATAAAAAATATTGTGCACTCTGCTCCAATCCTCAAAGGCATGCAGCAGGTAAACCCGGAGCCAAAGTTACCAAACCCTTTTTTCTTCATGCAAACAAAAATATATGGAATAGTATTCTCTGCATGTGAGCTGAATTTTAGCCTTGAGATCTGGTCTCTACATGCAGTGAATTGCTAAGACACATAATGACCATATGCATGCAACACAAAATAAATCAATGATCTGTTTTGTTAGCTAACAGAGACATTTAAAAGTACCCCAAACTTTGAACGCGTGGAAGTCACGGGATTCAGGTAGAGTACCGTGTGTATTTTGGAAAAAATACATGATGCGCGAACCGAAAAAAATAAGATAAATGTAATTGTAATTTCTTTCCACTCTTCATCTGAAATTTGGTATATTTATTAATATCCCAAGTGAATTTTAAGGCGCTTTTATCACTAGGAGATTCTAATTATATTTTTTAAATGGATTTCCGTCAAAGCAATGCTCTCATGTGTATTTGCCTTTTAAGATTTTTCACTTTTTCTCATACTTTCACCTAGGAATGTATCTCTCGTAGTAGAATTGAGGGTTATTTACCGGAGAGATCCAGATACTGATAAGAAAGTTGTCGTTGGCGAAACATTGAGAGAGAAGGTTATTAAAGAAGGAAAAATTGGGGAGTACAAAGTTAAAGGCAACATATTTATAACAGGTAAACTTGTGGAAATTAAACTTTTGTTGCATGTGCAGAATGAATTGTGATCTTTTCCCTTTTTGTATTTACGCTATACTTATTCATGAAATGAAATAAACAATACAGAAGGTATTTATGAAAGGTTTGATTATTATATTCCTTGCAGAACCACCTCCTCCACCAAAGGATCTTAAGTTTACTAAAATAACGCAGAAAAGCATTGATATCGCTTGGAAGAAACCCGCAGCGGACGAATTTTTTAAAATTATTGGTTACATGGTGATCTACAAAGAACAATCTGATTCAAAATACAAGACACAAGTAGTACCATCGACCATCCTTAATGTAACATTGAGTGATCTGGAAACTGGTACACTTTACGACATCACAGTTCAGGGGTATAATAAACATGGCGGTGGAGACAAGATTGCAATTAAAGAAAAGACAAAGGAGGGTAAATATTTCGCTATAGTGTCGACTAATTTTAACCGGACAATCTCAACTAGAGATTTGCATACATTCTTATTTCCCGTTAAAAGCCGACCCATACGAGAGTTGTTAGGTGCCGGGTGCTGCGCTAATGGTAGCTCACCTCCATAATGATCTCATGTGTGGTTAGTTTTCGTGAGAGTTTCATCTCGCGAGGTCGTGGGGAAAATAATTATTTTCGCCGCGCATGCATGGCACAAATCTCAGCATCTGCTTCCCTGCTGAATTAGCCTTTGTCACGATGACGTTTTGGGTATTTCAATTTTCTGAAATGAGTTTAAAAATTATGCATTTTTTTTAAAATCAACAAGCTATTTTAAGAATAACTCCAGTCTTAAAAGAAAGACTGTGGCCGTTATTAGACTTCACGCTTGTGGTTTCGAAAAAATTACCCCAAAAATGGCAGCATATTCGTCATCGTGAAAAAGGTTAATAAGATGTTTAGCTATGAGCAAATAATAGCGAGTGAAAGCACGTCTAGTTTTTCTACGTGAGAATACGACTCCATAGGAGCAAAATGGCGGTAAGCACAAAGGAAATGATAAACAACTGATAACTTGAATGGAAAGTCTACATGCACCCTCTGCATGTCATTGCACGAGGAAAAATCGTCAGGAAAAAAGATCTGCGTTGATACGGGAGAATCCTCAGTTCTATAAAATCAGTACACGTCTTCAGCTTGCACGCCAAACAACATCAAATCTCGAAAAGGTAAGGCAGCTTTTGAATAAATGAGGAGAAATGAGTTTGTATATACCGTTAATCCGCGTGGCGTCATCACCTGTGTAGTTGCATTGCTGTTTTGTAATACCACTGATAATAGTGACATTGCCACAAGCATGCTTACATTAATGATGTAATTTCGTGTAGGTTTACCGATTCTTTTCGAAAAAGGACATATCGTTTGGAAATAGTTGTTGCGTATATGCCTGGGAATCTTAATTCCGCGAACACCCAAATTTATCGTTTCACGCGGCAATTTAAAAATTATGACAAAGATACATTTTGTTATAAACTACATGAGATACTTTAAACACAATCAAGTGAATTTTCTAGAATGTGGAAGAATTGAAAGGTATAATTTCTGATGAAAATACAGAACTAATTTCATGATATGCATGCCCTTGAAATTGCCGATCTACAAGATGCGATTCGTATACTGGCGTATATATATATGTATTCCAACTGATAAATGCGTGTAAAGATGTCACATTTCTGCCAAAATACCGTACAGAACTACATTCGTGAAAACCAGCAGGATTTCGTTTTCATCGTCGACTTCATTAGAAGTCAAGAGCAAGTATGTAAAGTGCAAGATGTAAACTGTGCAAAATGCAAAGTATGTTTCGTGATGATGAATTGCAAGGCCAAGGGAGAATCAAAACAAAATTAAATAAATCATAAGCGTATTTCATCACTTTCGTATTTGAACTTGTACTCATTGCCCGTCTTCAGGTCTATTGGTAGTTTAAATGGGCTTTATCGAGGCACATTGAACCTCCTTTTACAGCTGAATTTTTTCTGGCGCGCAACATCAAGTTTACGGTTAAATGGATGTAAACAAAAATTCATAAAATTTTAATTATAAATGCAAAATCACCCACTTGTCATATTAAGCATTATTTGGGGTTTACCAGTCTGAATTTTCTCAGCCATTCGACTGCACAACAATAAAAACGATTTCGAATATTAGTTTGAGAAGAACTTTGTGACCAATCTAATCATATGACAAAACATATTGTAGCGAAGATTATACCTCAACTTAGAAAGAAATAATTAATTTCTGAAGACCCATGCAATTGAAAAGAAATATTTCAGAAGCTAGCATGAAACGGAGAGCTTGATTGTTGTTCAAGAAAGCATTATTCTATTTATTTCACGATTCTCAAATGTTTGAAATATTCGGATTGTTTTTCAGTGAATGGCGCACTGCAGGCCGGATATTACAATGTCATTCATTAGATTTCGCTATTTTTCTGGCTCGCACGGCTTTGAATAGCAACTAAACACGATATAATAGTCGTAGTGACTGGTATATGCGGCGTCGAGATCGTTATTTTAGACGAAATACAAGCCAAATATACCAATTAAATTAAGTTTTAATTGACTATATTTGTAAAATGAGTATTTATATAATAATGTTGATCGACCTGAACATGTTTGATGCTTATAGCCGACCATGGACATGTTTGATGCTTATAGCCTGCCAAGGGCTTTGTAATGTTGACCCTGAGCAAGAAGTATATGCAAGAGTGAAGTGTAATGAATAAACAACCTAATTAAAACAGCCAAAAAAACTGTTACACGCTTTCTCTTTCCACATTTTCGGAGTTTGTTATAACATAGTCAACTCTGAATATAATTATCCGCATGAGGAATTATAATGAGATATTTTGCAACAGGATATTTTAGCATCCATCCTTTCGTAGCTAACAATTTAGCGAGCTCATAATTTAAGTTGTCACTAACGCTAACGCAGTTAGTTTCTAAACAAAAGGGAATCCCGTATACATCAACATCTGATACAAGTTCGATTGCGTCATGCGGAAATTTGTACTATATTTTTAGCATTGTTATGGGTCTAAATACGGCAAATATTTGTTGAATTATGTTTTCATGGTACTTTAATGAAAACAAATTAAAAATTTTAGAATATGTATTCACTCTTAGAATTCGTATTCGTAAATCAGGGAACAGGAAACCCCCGAAAATTTTAATGACGATATAAAATTGTTGGCACAATTATTATAGCTATTTAATATCATCGGTTATGCTTTTGTATCATTTAATTTGTATATAAGAATATTTCCACTTATAGTGTTTGTTTGTGTTTAAATGTCTGTGCATGGATACATTTTAGTATTACTATTTAATTGTTTTTAATTATTAAAACTGATAAATATGTACATGAGTGCATGGTATATTTTGCTGCGTGCATTTCACATGCACAACCTAAGAGTTCCGCGTTTCACGTTTCGAAACTACTGTACTTCCCTGACAGACAAAGCCAATATTTATCTCGAAAATGAAAAGACATGTGCCGTTGACAGGCTACACTATACAATGCCTGCATAAGGAAATATATACAAATGCTTTTGGCACCGCACAAAATACATTCCGGCAGAAAGATTCCGTGACATAAAAAAGTGTTTTTTCAACTTAAGGAAAGACTTCCTGCTAGGAAACATGCAAGTAACATGCACTATATGGCATTTGAAATTTCTTTGAAAACAAAAAACTCAAGAGTCAGGTATGTATTTTTATACCTACGCTTGTTTTTACAGCACGGAAAGGCGAATTTTTTAGGGGCATGATTTGTTCTGATAGATTAAGATTTTGTTTCAGATATTGCAGTCAGTGCGGTGTAATGTGTTATGTTATGCAACAGCAATTACTAAAATATGTCAAGAGAAAGCTTGAATAATCAGTTGCGGCAGATGTTCATGTCTAAACAATAAAGTCAGATAACAAATGAGGAATCTCGATTATTATATAGCACAAAAACAATTTAAAACTCATCATTGCTTCAGAATTAAATTTCGCTTCTCTGCCAAATATTTACTTTGTGCGTGCGTGTCTCAACTTGTTGTATGAACTTGACAATCGGCTGATGTTTTGACAAGTGGTGATAGCTTTCCTACGTAGAGTCAAAATTAAAATATTTTGCTGAAGAAAAGAGCTTGTAGCTAGCTTAGCTGTACCAAAACACCGAATCAATTCAATATCATGAAAGACCATAGAATTCGTTCGCATTTCTTAAATATTTTATTTAATTACTGGTATATATTTAGAACTATTTAGATCTTATGACTCAATCTTCTCCACGGGGGACCCGGATTGGAATTTGACACACGGCTCAAGTTACACTTCCTCATTCGTTTGTGTAGTTGTCGTACAGTATACACACATCAAATCCCCTGCACTGAAAAGATTTTAAAACATGGTCCTGGATGTATGGGAGTTGCACTAATGTGTAAGTACTGAACATTACAAGTTTTTGATCAAATGTACGTTTATAGAATGTAAATTCGAAAGCGATTGAGTATTTTGATAAAGTGTTTACTTGTACAGTCGCACTGTTCTATATACTGTTTATTGTAATACTTTCGCGATGTGTGATTAGTTGAAACTCAGTGCTGGCTATTGGAGGTTTAAATAGATGGTCTGCATGAAATTTTAGAAGAATTTAACTTCATCTTTCAAGCAAAACAAAAAGGCATTAAACCAGACGAATGGCGTGATCCGCCAGATGTTCGAACCACAGGTTTGTTGCATATATGAGATCCATACATCTGGTATATCTGGGGCCGGTTTTGTCAAGTCCGTTTAGCTTAAACGGTGGATAAGTTCAAAATAAAAAGCAAGTCTATCGTTTCATTCAACAGGCGCGAACTAAATGTTTTTTACCTTAATACAAAGATACCGTCCACAGCAACATAATTATTCAGTGCATAATATTCAAGTTGACTCATTCAAGAGAGATGTAAGAGTGTTACGGCGCCATGTAGCAGGCTAAATACGTATTCAAAACTAAACCTAATCCAATGCTAAAGCCGCTTTAGTTCGTTCGTTACATAATGTCACCGTGTACCGTGGAAACATTTAACAAACGAATATTTTTTGGCGAAGTAATTGTTCGTCTTGTTGCATGTTTACGTATAGCATAGAGCTCGAGAGATTCCAATAAAACTATTGGCCATAAAGTTTCGCATCGCGGTAGTCTTTACTTTTTTATGTTGATGAATACAGCATCCGGATATTGAGGTTAACACGATATAGGTTAGCGGTTTCTGTCGATATTATGCATATATGAATAGCTGAATTTTTATTATGGATATAATTCACCAGGATAGATTTGATCCTTAATACCTGTGAATACGAATATGAGTGAGAGGACTTTATTACGACGCATATTTCATTTTCTAACACTATATATTTTAAAGACTTTGTGTAGCTGTGCTTGCATTTGTTCACTGCAACGTTTCAGCTCTGGGTGTTACAACAGCGACAACCCGCTGTTTATCGCTTCATTGAAATCGCAGTTAATCCAAGACTAGTCGCTAATACAAACACGTGAGAAAGGATGGGTATAATAAGCGAAACACTCTTTAGAATTTTTAGTGATATGCAAATAAAAGTGTATGGCTAAGTTTCAATATCTGAACTAGTGTAGAAAACGAGTGTCGCAGAACGTCACAGGGTGTAAACAGAGACTTGAGTCACCCGACAGAGTTTAGATCTCAGTGTTTGAATAGACAAGCAATATATGCATTGCCATTGTAATATGAGACACACTAGAATTCAATTATCGGCGAGTTTTGAGGCTTATTCGAACATTTATCTATATTTTTTAATGCTAGGTTCTAACGATGCTCTATCATAATGTTCGACTGGTCGAATGAACTACTTTCGGTTTTCTTAATAGAACAATGCTGGCGACATAACAATATTTCAGACAGAGCTTCCCGCTTCCGTAATTCGCCTTCTATAGTTTTGTCTCTTATTTATCTAAGACTAAGATGATATATCATTATTACACGGTCAATATAACACTGGCACACTGCCACTTGTTTCTTCACCTTGTTCAAAACATCGCTCAAAATAAATTCGTCTTCTGAATTTTTTTGGAAACAGATGCGCTGCAGCAGGGCTGCAAGTTCTGATTTTAATAGCCACAGGAAGCCTCCTTTAAGGCCGATTTCCACTTACAACGAAATCGTTGGCTACCGAAATATTTGCATGTTTTCTTTTGAATTTTAACAGCATAAATAAATTAGTTTGACTTGACTGTTCTCAATTCAAAAGAAAATATGCAAATATTTCGCTAGCGAACGATTTCGCTGTAAGTGGAAATCCGCCTTTAATAATTAATAGCTGCCACGTTTCTTGAGTATTAAAAGTATAAAATGACGTGCTCCGATGAACAAAGGCATCCTGCAAACCCAGGATTTAAGTTATTAGAAAGACAAGATGCAATTATTTAATTGGTGATATTATTCCACGCTATTTCAGAATGATTGTCAAACCAGACGAAATTATTTACAAGCTTGATAGGTCTATATACAGGAAAAATGACGTAATCAACTAGAGAAGATGATAATGTTAGGTTTTATATTACAATCAGCAACAAAGATTACAGAAACGCAATAAATTCTTTAGACGCTTTCATGAATCCACTATTAAGTTGATCGAACTTTTTATGCAGAGCTTCCAAGTATATAATGGAGCTATTATATTGCAGAGATCTGAGAGAACTTTGGTTAGTCATATTTATACGTCAGGATAAGAATCGTATACGATTAAACGCATCGGTCTTTAAGAGGACCTGAGTGCTCAGACGAACGAAACTTAAACAAACGTCTTTCTGAGGATAGATACCCATGTCCGGTGTCCGCGTTTCCATGCTGACCAACCAGCAGTGACTACGATCATACGAAATTCGGCCCGCCCTCATATTGATAAGACCTGTCAGAACATTGGGCATTTGTTATCAATCAACAGCAAAGTTCCACCGCTGCTGAAACGCGAACATGCGGCAATATTAATTACTGCAAAAATAATACTAAATAAATCAATAACCCACTTAAACGTTAATCCACGATTTTATAATTTGAAAGAACCGTATAGTTAAGTGTAAATTTCTAGATTACAGCTTGTTATTGGCATATTCTAATTTTTAAATTATCGTTTACCTTAGATGTTTAAAAAATGAAATTTGAAATTTTGTAATGAAGCCGTTTAATATTCCTTAACGCATTTCGCGTAAATGCATTTAAATCAAGTATTTCTTCTTCACAAAATATACCCGCGTGTTTGGATCAGGTCAGCGAAACCATTAAGTAAATATTTAGTGTCATACTTGTTAGTGCCAGGAATACAATGCATTGAAGGTTTGAGGGTGATTTTAACGAGAGGGCAATTACGATTTAATTATTATTGAAATAAATGTTTAATGAATTGCATGAGGCTTTCCAGGATTAGGATAAGTTATACAAATTCTTGAACTTTAAGATTGCTTTCGAGGTGTTTTTATCACCATCTTTTCTCGCTTTTTTTACTTTAAGGCCTCGTCATATGCCAAAATGAAGTGGAAGTGAAGAAGACATGATCTCAATAAGGTCGTGAAATGGTGCAAAAAGAATGCACCATGATGAAAGTAAGGGTAAAGCTTCTTTTTCTGTTTAGAAGATTTGAATTTTTATTCTCCAGGTTTGTATATTATTAAAGGTGAGTCGCCTAATACAAATGTTTTTTTGTCACCCCAAATGTTTTGTTTTACTTTTTAAGGCTTTCTTCATTGCATAGTATATATGATAATAATGATTTAACTAATTAAATATATTGTTTTTTTACGTCTCTGATCTGTTTATATATTCCGACATTTTTGTCTGCAAGGGAAGACATTGATTTGATGCCTCTCCGAAAGTCTTTTTGACTTTCATCTGCCAGACTTTGCGTTCCGAGGAAATGATTGAATCTCAACATGAAAATAGTTTGTTTTTGCGAGATTTTGCAAACTATGTCATATTTCTTGTTGTAATTGAATCTTAAATTCCTTGGAAGACCTTCGCGATGTTTGTGCAAAGTGCACAAACTCATCGCAATGCGCTTATGTTAAATTTGTCCTTAATTCATTGCATGCTTACTGATCTGTGTTAGAGTTAGCCCACATGTATTCACTAATGTTATTTTCTCGCTTTCTTTTTCACCATGTTTTCAGATGTAGACGAGTGCAAGAATGCGACACTATATAATTGTGGTAAAGGGTATGATTGTGCCAATACTCTTGGCTCATATGCATGTGTTTGTCATGGAAGGAAAGTAAATACAGAGTGTGTTAAAGGTAAAATAACAATTGAAACAATGTTGACTTTATCATTCAGTCGAAAAGCTATTTGTGTCACATATTCGCCTTCTACTGCTCGACTAAGACTGCATTTATATCCGTTAGCGCTAAAACATAACGAAAATACCATTTTTAATTTTAGATGCCATACGACATCGTGTTCAGTTAACAATAAAACAAAACTACACTACGACCCTTGGCAATAGAGCCTCTACAGAGTTCAAAAACTTGGAATCAAGGATAAAAAACGCGGTTTGTTCAGTTTATACATTAGATATAATTTTTGCAACATTTTGAATAATCGTTTAAGACGGAGGGAAAATGTTTTTCTATGCAGACCGACTTTACAAATTAATAGCGGGCAGATTTCCAGTATTTCCTGCAATCTGATTGGCACTAGCAGGGCTGGAATTTTGGACCGCAGTAAAACGTCATACGAATGCCATTTGCACACAAGGAGTGCGGACTGAATAAAACGGTTAAACAATTAAGGAAGATCAGTTGTGATAAATATTATGTAAGGAAAAGTCTTCCCCCCCCGTAATTTGGAATAACGGAATACGTCGCTCATGCGCAGACGTTTGTGCGCCGGTGTTTATTTGACACGGTCTGGAACAGTATTTATACACATAAATTTTCTCGCTCAGCACCAATATCTTCCTATACCTTTGCAGGTGAAATGACAAGAAATGTAATTTTTTTGTTCGAGGCCTTAAAGAAGTGATCATTACAAACTTTAAATTTTAGTTTCAGACAGTATTCACGAAAGCGGGCAACAAAAAATATTTAGAATTGGAAATAACCAAATTTAGGTAAGATCTTGATTTTAAATCTTTAGTGCACAGTAAGGAAAGTTGATTTAATCTATATTTTCAAAACCTGAATTACGTTTAGATAAAATATTCCTACAGGTTTATGAAAATTTAATAATCGTTTAATGCAAGCATTCATATTGAATATATTCAACTTGGCGGTATTTTACTTCCACAATGGGATTTTCCCTGTGAGCTCAAGTTGCCCAAACGGCTCAATAACTATGAAAAACGCCTTCATATAAAAAATTATCAAGGCTTGCCCTCATATGACAGGCTAGTACAGACATTCATTGTTGAATATGAAGATTAAATGTTTCAGGCAAATTAGATTAAAAAAGAATAGCTTTTTGAAAATATATTTATTTTATACGGTTCTTGTATTTTTACCTAGCTATATATTTGTTCAATAATAATTTTGCTTTTTCTTTAATTTCACCAGCTCTGGGAGCATTATCGCAGATATGGACGTGTTATTTAGAAAGGGAGATGAAACTGGCATGAAGGAGCTGCTAGCTGCTGTACGAAATAACTCATTTGGTGATTTTGATGTTGATCCTGACGCTCTTCAAGTTGTTATAACGGGTAGGGCATAAGAAATCTCATCATGGATATATCAGTATTATATGCATGACTTGAGAACCCTAAAGTTATATTAGTTTTTTTCCTCTTATTTGAAAGTCAACTATCGATGCTTTCGGTTGTATTCAAAAAGCTCACTCACAACCACCCTTATTGAGTGTGACGTAGCAATACTGTTAATACTGATCAGTGAAAAACTTCTTTTTAATCAGTGACCAGATTTATGGTGAAACACTGAAAATCAAACTCTTATTCAGGTAGAAATATCGTCATGAAAACATATTGAGAAAATTGATTTTTCTCAGTCAATAAGTTTAATGAGTTTGTGTTAGCTTTTAGAATACAACTGTTTGTCTTATTAGTTATACCTGTCTTTTGACGTTGAGAACACATGCATATCCGAGGTATAAAGTGTCAATAAACTCTGGCTCTGAGATGCCTATAGTAATTTGTTTTAGCTTAATATATAATATTTTTAGAGTGAACTTCTTGTGGCAAAAAAAAAGAGTAAAAAGAAAGTGGATTTTGACATAAATGGCCCCTACCCCCTGACGAACACTTGAACACTGTTGTGCGTCAAATTATATAGTTAAAATCTATCTGCGTGGTATTTTCTTCTCATTGTGTTTTTTAATTATTTATAGGTGCATGTCCACCAAATGGTCCTGACATCTGCCCCGGAAATTCAACATGTAAAAAGTTGACCGAGAGCACAATAAAATGCCCTTGCAATAAAGATTTTTACTTTGACGGTGTCACATGCATAAGTAATTAATATATGAATTTAATATAACTAAGTATTTGTTTAATACTCTGGCTACGCGTTTTTAAATCGGCCGTTTGGAATTTGTGTAACAACAACACATGGTCATGGCCATAAAATTTATCAAAAGGCAAAATGGCGGCAAATACTCGTACACTTATTTTTAGAAAACACCTTTGCATGAAAGATTTACAGAACACCCTCTTGCCAAACGCGTTTGAACAACACAGTGGCTTTTTATAATGATAACACATCTTTCAAGAACTGATATTCGATTAGAACAAACCTTCTACGCATTTCTAACAAACGCAGTCATTAACCGCCTTTTCTAAAAAAAACCATGCAGGTCGGACATATCTGTGCAAAAAAGTGTGATCAACTTTGCCATGCATATAATCTTTAAACATATCTGAAGGAATTCGAACTGTTCTGATTGGCAAATAGTCATTTGTGAGATCGTGATGTCCATATTTATTTTTTGAATCATAGCATGAATCGTAAATATTTCAAGCACCTAATAATTCACTCTAGATTATTTCAACTTTAGGAAATGTCGTTGTAAAAGTTGAAATAGTCTTGAAAAAGGAGTTTACCCCAGCGTTGAAGAACGAAAGCTCAAAAGAATATATAGAGTTGAAAGAGGATATTACGAATAAGGTAAATCTGAATTTTTTTACGGAAGTTGCATTTCCTAGGCAATTTTTTTTTTCAGTGCTAGACTTTTGTGATATCAAAAGCCTACTGTATTATAACCTTTTCAATTAGCAATAACTGAGTTTGGAATTAGGCACCGCGGTAACAATATCTTTAATCGAAATTATTTGATAAATACACTTATACGCCTGTATTCTAAAAGCTCGCTCACACCCAAACTCATTGAGTGGGAGATCTCATTCTTCTTGCAACTTTCCATGACGGTATTTTCAGTCAAACAATGGCTTGATTTTCAATGTTTTACATTAAATCATTTCATTGACTAAGAAAAAAAAACTTTCTAATTGATCAGTAATAACAAAATTTCTATGTCACACTTAAAGAGTGAGTGTGAGTGAGCTTTTTGAAGAGCGTTTGTTTTAGAATAAGCCATAGTAGTACAGTAAGTAGTACTATAGTATAGTATTTTTTACTATACCCCATTTAGCTTTTTGTTTTCTTATAATCTTCTTATTCAAAGAAATTATTTTCTTGAAACGAGGATCAGATAAGGCAAGCTTTCCTATTTTAAAAAAATATTTGGGATATTGCTCAAGATTATTTTTCTCATATTGAAGTTCAGAAGTTAAGATAATCTTTCTTATATGGAGAAATTATTTTCTGAGTTTAAGAAAAAAATTTCCAATTCATAAGAATATAATTTCTTGTGTTAAAATCTGTAAATCTGTGGAGTGACTACTTTCTTATTTAAAAAAAGTACTTTCTAAACGAGATTTTATATCCTAGAGTTTTTATATCCTAGAGAAAAATTTTCTTTATACATAAGAAAAAAATTCTTAAGATAACATATAAATTTTTTCGATAAGAAAATGATTTTTTGCTGTGCAGTATTGAACAATGATCTAAAATCTTATCCTTGTGTTGCGGTGCGAGACGTCGTTCTGGGGCCGGTTGTATCAAGCCCGTTTAGCTTAAACGGTGGTTAAGTTCAAAATAGAAAGCAAGTGTATCGTTTTATTCAACAAACAAACAAAATGTTTTTAACCTTAATACAAAGATACTGTTTACAACTACATATTCAGTGCATAATATTCAAGTTGACTCATTCAAGAGAGATGTAAGAGTGTTATTCACTTTTGACTTATACACCGTTTAAGCTAAACGGGCTTGATACAACCTGCGCCTGGTGCATAACCAGGATTATATGACTATATTTAACCTTTAGTGTTATTGCAAACGAACAAACAAAATGAAACGTCATTAAATAGAATGGGATGGAAAGTCAACAATCAGCTACTTATCATTTTACAATTTGCAACATTTTATCCTTTTCTATACAAAGTAAAAAACAAGGGAGTTTTTTAGACTGGAAATGCCGAAAAGAGAATTCAAATGGCAGGGTGACAAAAATAAAATGCTAGACCAGGCATACAATGTTATTTGACAACGCGCTGACCGAGCACATTACATCGAAAGTTAAAATGTATTTTGCAAGTCTTGCTCTTTTATGTCAACTTCTTATTAATTTTGTTTATACAGAAACTATATATATATATATATATATATATATATATATATATATATATATTTATATATATATATATATATATATATATATATATCGTTTCCTAGGGTAGATCAGATATTTATTGCGGTTTAGTAATTGGAGTGACATTTAGCTTGTAACAAAAATTTTAGTGGTATTGCATATCCACCGTTTAAGCTAAACGCCTTTCGAACAACCGGGCCCAGGTCTCTACATGCAGTGAATTGCTAAGACGCGTAACGACCATATGCAACACAAAATAAATCAATGATCTGTTTTGTTAGCTAACGGAGACATTTAAAGATACCCCAAACTTTGAACGTGTGGAAGTGACAGGATTCAGGTAGAGTACCGTATATATTTGTGAAAAAAAGGAAAGTGCGCAGCCATGATTAAACATACCAAATATATAGTGATAATGCAGAGACTCAGGTGTGTGTATTAAATGTATATGTGATGTTGCTACTCTGAGTCACCAACTGGGCAAGCTGAAAAATTAGCTTGACCACGGTGGGAATCGAACCCGCGACCTTTGGTTTGCTAGTCCAATGCTCTTCCATTCGAACAATCTTGACGTTGTAACTCAGTTGGAAGATTGCATATAAGTGCATCGATGCCACGCTCTCGTGACCAATATATTCGTGCGTTTTCACTTGTGTGTTTTTTTTCATTCTTTAACGTAGGAACGGATCTCTCGTCGTAGAATTTAGGGTTATTTACCGGAGAGATCCAGATACTAATAAGAAAGTTGTCGTTGGCGAAACATTGAGAGAGAAAATTATTAATAATGAAGGAAAACTCGGAGAGTACGAAATTAAAGGCGATATATTTATACAAGGTAAATTTAAGGAAGTTGTTATATAAGTCTATGTAAGTCTATATCTTAATTGTTGCATGTGCAGAATGTAAAGAGATCTTGAAGTAGGTAGTTTTTATACACATTTGTATGTCGGGTCTAAGTGTGTAACTATTTTAAGCCGCGTTTACACAGCGTTCTTTCACCTGGCCTGGTCAAGGCCTAGGCCTAGATGTATACCTGGTCTAAGCCACAAAATCCAGGCCACAAAATCCAACAGCAGAAGGTGGCCTGAACTAGGCCTGGACCTGACCTGCATGGGGTAAGATTTTGGTAATGTGAACAGGCTTTACCTAGTCCATCAAATTTTGAACATAAAAATATAGTATGATTTTTATAGGATTATAGGATATATATATATATATATATATATATATATATATATATATATATATATATATATATATATATATATATATATATATATATATATATAGCTATCCGATATCATCAACAAGGACAGTGTGAACGTGGCACATATTACCTAGACTTCGCCTATACCTGGTACGGGTCAGGTCTAGGCATGAATTGTGAACGCGGCTTTAGTTTCAAACGTTCGCCGGTAATACAAATGTAGACAAAATTTGCCAACTTTGTATATTCTTTTTTGAAATTCCCTTTTTGTTGCCTAAATCTAAAGTTGGTGTATTATGGAAAAGGTCAATGGGAGCGTTTATCCCGAAAAAGATTTCTCGGGATACGCCGAGAAGAAAATGACACTTCTTTTATATTCGAAGCTTCTTTTGTATTCATTTCAGTTACAATCGCGTTGACATTATAACATTGTTGATAGCCGCATTATATTTTGTAATAACTACTATGTTTGTGCTTTTTCCATTCACGAAATACAGTTCAAAACTTAGTTCACAATATAATCTAAAGAATAAAGGTAAAATTAATTTTGAGCAGTACGCCGAAACGATTTTAGGTTTTGAGCGTTTTCCTGCCAAAATACGCGACATAATAAAATATCTCCTCTTAAATCAAACAAATAAATTTTGCGGTCTTCTCTTTCTTGCATTCTTTACAGAACCACCTCCTCCACCAAAGAGCCTTATTCATTCTAAGGTCACCGAGAACAGAATTGACATTCGTTGGGAAGCACCTGCAGCGAATGACTTTTTTTATATATTTGGTTACATAGTAAGCCACAAAGAAAAGTCCCAATTAAAATACAAGACGCAGAATGAGACATCGGTTACATTAAATGTTATACTAAGTAAATTGAAAAGTAATACATTTTACGACATCACAGTCCATGGATATAATAAAGAGGGCAGTGGAGACAAAATAGAAATTTCAGTAAAGACAAAAGAAGAGGATTCGTGTAAGTATCTTGCTTATATATAGTGTTGCCGAGTCATTTTCAAACCCAAAACTCTCTGGACTAGAGATTGTAGATAGTCGTTTTTCCCCTTATCAAATGCAGTTTATGCTTAACTGTATTGTGGAGGTTACTGAGTGCAAGAGATGTTTGCAAGGGCGCCATAGCCACGTATATAGACAAAGGAGGACTAAGTTAGCTCCCCACTATATCGCCATACCATAGTATGTTCACTGAGTGGCCCTAACTTTAATATAAAGCTATGTTGAAATCATGATGGGCGTGCTCTTTGTATTAAAACTCGCGTTAAAGATACATTCTCGTATGGATTTGCAAATATGTTCATGTGTGCATTATATTTAAGCTTCCTCTCCATGCTGTTACAAAGGTAAAATGGATGTATACGATTTTCTGACGCAATGTCCCGCCGCTCTAAACTCCCCTCGCGGTGCCCCTAGATGTTAGATTGAATAACAAATGCATTCGAACTTCTCTTTTAAAGCTGATGGTGTGGTGGTTATTATCATTGTTGTTATCGTGGTTGTGCTTCTTATCATTGTCGGCATTGTAGTTTTCTACAATATAAGAAAAAGGACAAGAGAAAGGGTAATATATAGAAATTAAGATACCCTTGTTTCGGTCTACGAGTAGGTAGCTTAATTTTTCTCAATGAGCTTCCATCGATGATTGTGATGTTTTTTTAACTTGACCTGGACAGTCATTTTCAGTAGACTTTAGGCTTTCGACGCGTAAACGTGAATTCTATCATAAAGGATGTATATCCCAAGAAACTCCATTAAACAAAATAAGGTTACCTGTAGCCGTAGACCAAACCCGGGTTATCTTAAACCCTCCTCTAAGAAATAAATTAAAATTTGTAGAATCTATAAAAATCGTGATTTTTAAATTTATGTTAATTGTCAAAAATAATATCGTAAGTTTGAAAAGCTCTGAAGAACATTTGACTAACTAGTGCAAATAGTTTTTACCAATTTAGCTACATTTTCGAATTTCATTTTGTTGTAGCATCTGGAACAACCAATGCGTATGGGTAAAATGGGTGAGCCTAAAGAATTTTACAACCTTGGACATAAGCAAGACGAAATGTCTAGAGGAGATAACCCACAAAGTTGAAATGAAGTCAATATTGAGAATGAAAAAAAATGTGTTATAGAGGAATGGTGCATGATAGTTCTTAACTTGGCTTGATGATTGGAATATAAACTAGTGCACATATCAGTAAACTCATTTCATTTAGCTACTTAGTCTTTTTGTCTTTTCGAATGGAATCATATATATGACATAATTATATGTAATTATTTAAGGATATTTTTGCATGCGATAAAAAGTCTTAAGATTTTAAAATGTTTTAGTTTAAGGAATATTATTTTTCGTTGATGATATAACAACCCACGGTTGTAAAATAACATAAAAGCATTTATGCATAATCGATTCAGGCCTGTTGCTGATGTGCCACTAAAGAGATAAGACGCCGAAAGTACTTCCTTCTAAAAGCGAGCCCCGTGCAGTATATACGCAAGAATAGAGCATAATATGAATCAAACAATTTAAATAAATTACGTGCGTCATTTCAAAAACATGAAATTCAAATCGTGAAAACACCGCATATGATCATTCATACCCATAGCCGATAGCGACGTGTGAAACAGGTCTTAACAGCAGTAGCGGCACGACTTTTGATGATGCAGATGCAAAAATATTTTAGTGCCAATGTTAAAAAACAATCAATTTCTAAAGAAATAAATAGTGATAGTGATACTACACCCAAGATCGATGTCAAATTACTTATTTTTAGCATTTATTGCATCACCTAGTTCCTGTATGAGGCATTGTTTTTAGTTAATGTAAACAACACTATATGTATATACAATCTAACATGATATCTTAAAATCACTTTTAAGATTTAATGTACCTTATTAAATTTTTCATTTAATATCAATTTTTAGTACGTAAAAGTTAATTAATTTACCATCAAGGTGCGGTTTAGTACAGGTGATTAGGTCACTGAACATAGCCTATCTTATTAGTAATGTTTACAACACGAGCGGTCGTGACATACAATCACCGTAATATATTGTACAATCACGAACGCTTTGTAATAATATTTATGATTTGAATAGATCCATGCAAATCAGTTACAAAGAGTGATGGTTGTTTTTTGCGGAAACAACCACTATAGTGTTTGCAACTGATTAGCAATATCATCCAAACTAATTTGCATTGGGTACACAGGGTGTGCTGCATTTAACCAAATTCACAATGTCGTTTTTAAAATATTTCAAAATTCTAACTGCTATACTCATATTACTTTATTTCAAATTGTAGTTAACTTTGAGGTGGACAGTTGAGCGGTTTAATTAAACCGTTTCTTAAATATAAAACCAAACTAAAACTTGCATGTTTAAAAAAAATAAGCCATAACAGAACATAGCCGTATCAGAAAACCATGCATTTTAATTCAATTCAAATTCAATTCAATTCAAAATTTATTTACACTTTTTTATCCAATATACATAAATAAATATTTATTATAAATATTTTTTTTATTAACATAAGGGAAGAAAAACAAACAAACACACAACACATTTAAAATCATAAAACATAAATTCAAAATTTTTCATTCTATTAGAATAATTATAGTGTGCGGCAGCCTAAGAAGCAAAGCTTTCGAGTTGGGTGCCGCGATGCGAAAGTTTAGTAAGCAAATTTGGTAATTTGGTAATTATTTATCTAATTTCATTAAGATAACAAAAAAAAGAAGAAGAGCTAGAAGTAAATTATTTGAACGATCATACATTGGTAAACAACTCATTATTATAACAAAATTACTCTTGACTGAAAAGTAGAAATAATAATCAAACATAAATAAAACTTGATGCATATATATGTCATGTTTTTATTTGTGTTTCCAGGCCCAAACGGTCGCGAGAACTGTCAATTTAGGACAGAAATTTGATCTAATATTTACCCCTGAAAGGATCATTTGAACAGTTCTAATTGATAAACAAGACAAAATAAGACTTTTTTCATAAGACGTCATTTATTGCCTGGTCAGTACTGCGAAGAAAGACAATCTTTATATTCTTAGAATTCATGTGTTTTCTACTTTTAGTTTTAAACCTTTTGTTATTAGCAAATCTGTTTCAGAAACTTTGACTTTCAATTTTATATTTAATTCTGGTTCTGATGTAACCCTTATTGGTATTATTTTCTCATTCTCAATTTTCATTTTGGTTTTTGCGCTGTTAGTCAATCAACACTAGAGGACAGGTAGGTAAAGGAAATGAAGGTTTAGTCGACCTCCAAATTAACAGTTAAGACTGGGATAATTAACAGTTAAGACAAGCATAATTTCTATTTACCCCACGGGACTGGTAATCTTAGGTAGAGGGGTCGAATATTTGTGTACTTCATTCTCACCTCTATTTGAGCATATCATTTTTCATTTTCAGTCTTTTAATAGCTATGACCTCAATTTTTTCAAATTTATATTTTGTTGCGGGTGTCATCAAATCCGGAATTGCAAACCAGTTTTCTTTTGTTTATGTATAGCACAAAATTCCCGATTTGATTTCTTATCCGGTAACTTTAAAGGCTAATAAGACAAAGACAAAGTTTTTCAATAAAAAAATGTGATTGCAAAGTTTTTTTTAAAATACCTTGAACTTTTGATATATCCAAATCCCCAACCGGTATTTTCATCAGTTTAATCAAAGTTTTATGAAAAAGAGAAGAAAATTCACTCAGCGCAACATGCGCAAATTTCTTAGTGTTTGTGCGCATGGTGTGTAGTCCCTTACAACAAGTGTGTAAGAGTGCATGGTCAGATTTATTTATATAGCGTTATTTAAAAGTTTTTGCGAGGTTTTCATATTCAAACAATCCACAACAGCCTACTTAGTACGAAGTCATTTTACCCTTAAGACGATATTTCGATGAAAAATTATTTTACAAACTTTTCAAAGAAATTCTTTTTCAAATTCCTTGTATTCTTTAAGAATTCTTACATTACACGTAATTATTGCAAGATTGAATTTAATTGCTTGGCGGAGACGTCAAATTATTCTGAAAAGTAATGCAACGTGTACACTGATCAGATAATAAATCAAATAGTTTCCTAAGTCTTTCGTTAATTATATATAGAAGAATATCTTTAATGTTTATATCTCCTATATTGATGCTTTTTTTGTATGAATATTAAGGATCATATTTCGCCGAGGAGCATATCTAAATTAGGCATTTAGAACAAACTTAGTGTTTATGCTGAGCTGATGCACAGCCACCCACGTCACAAGATTATATATTTGCTAAAGAGCAATTTGATGAGAACAATAGTTAAAGCGTCTATGACTTTAACTCCTGCTGTTTAACTTCTTCCGTGTAGAAGATAATTATGCAAATATATTGAGCCCCAGTAACAACATAATACAAAGATCGCGATCGGTAAACTTTGCATGTTTGTATTTTGTGAAAAGTAATATAGTATTTTATTTAAGATTGGAGAATTTTGAGTACTTGGACAATATTCATCTAAATTGGACATGCAGAACACACATACCCAGAGTGACACTCACATTCATTGGGTGTGACATATTATACATTTTGTTAATGCTGATCAACGAGGAAGTTCTTCTAAAGCAACAATTTTCCATGGTTATCAGTTAAGTAAAGAATAAAAAGTTAAAATTAAAAAAAATTTCACTAACGGTAGGATCTTTCTTTCTTATGAATGCTAATCGTCAACCTCCTAAATTGGCAAAAAATGTTTCATTCTATTCATATGCAAACGACTAAATTTTAGCAATTCACCCCATGCCAACAATTTTCCATGGCTACCAGTTACGTAAAGAATAAAAATTCCTTATCGGCAGGATTCCTTCATCACTATATGAAAATTTAATAACACTGAGTTAAATTGAGTATGCATCTTTCGCTTCTCGATACTCCCGACAGATTCCTATGAAACGATTTAGAAAAGGTAAGTGTTTTTTCTATTTCCCTTTTAATATACTTGGTTTACTTACAAAATCTTGGCAAACCATGCAGAGTTTGCCTGAGAAGTTTTGCTTTCCCGGGAGTAATATATATTCACCGTGTCTATTTACAATTAGACAACGAGTCCGGTTGTCTATGAGCGAATAGTGAACGTAGGCGAAGCCTGAGTTGACTATTCGCTCATAGACAACGAAGGCGAGTTGTCTATAATTGCTTTAGTATACACCCTGTTACCTAGATATATTAATTTCGAGAAAATAATCGATACACCGCAATTACACCGAAAAATAATTAAATTAATTCAATTTTATACGGTCGCGCGAGCGAATTTTTCCCAAACGTTCACCATCACGAATAGACAATGGTTGAGTAGCCAATCAGAATGTAGGATTTGTAATAGACAATAGTCGGGTGTATACTAATTAATGTTAGTATTATATGAAATTAACACCGGTAATATCCTAAACTACTCTTTATTTGTCCGACGTGTTTTGCTTCAGTTATCTGCAATAAACTGAAGAAAGAGAAGTGCAATACATAACATTTGACTACCGGGAAATGCTACGAAGAATCTCAATCTTTCTATTTGTGTGCAGTCAGCAATGACAGATTTGAATACAGAAAACAAGACGAATTTAAAACTGGACTATTTCTCATTACTGAAAATTAATGACTTGTTCACGACAATTACTGACTGAATGGAAATCAGGTTTTAATGTCATAATGAATCTCCAGAGCTCTATTGGAATAGTTAATTTATCACGTACGCAATCGACCGGGGAGAGTCTTTCTGATCGAGTACCTTTGTATGCATGCATGGTAAGGGTTCTAGTTTGCATCAAACTTTACAAATGCTTGTGTCCTGGGCTCGATCTTCTTGAGTATACATTAGATATAAATTTTGCTTTTTCCAGGGCATAATTGTGAGATCATTATTGGTGTATACTCAGAGAAGTACATTTTTTAAACGAAGAAAAATTCCCAATAGTTAATGGACTTTATCTGCTATAAATACGTGTAACTAATTTAGCTGCACAGTTCCGCATGTAATACAAAGTCTATTTTCCTCATTTTAAAAAGTTTCGCTTCTAAACTTTCCATCTTCACTAATTTTCGCATGCTATTTCAAGTCATGGTAATATATTCCCTTCTTGTTGCAAAGTCATGGAAATATATTCCCTTCTCGTTGCAAAGTCATGGAAATATATTCCCTTCTCGTTGCAAAGTCATGGTAATATATTTCCTTCTCGTTGCAAAGTCATGGTAATATATTTCCTTCTCGTTGCAAAGTCATGGTAATATATTCCCTTCTCGTTGCAAAGTCATGGTAATATATTCCCTTCTCGTTGCAAAGTCATGGTAATATATTCCCTTCTCGTTGCAAAGTCATGGTAATATATTCCCTTCTCGTTGCAAAGTCATGGTAATATATTCCCTTCTCGTTGCAAAGTCATGGTAATATATTCCCTTCTCGTTGCAAAGTCATGGTAATATATTCCCTTCTCGTTGCAATGTCATGGTAATATATTCCCTTCTCGTTGCAAAGTCATGGTAATATATTCCCTTCTCGTTGCAAAGTCATGGTAATATATTCCCTACTCGTTGCAAAGTCATGGTAATATATTCCCTTCTCGTTGCAAAGTCATGGTATTATATGCCCTTCTCGTTGCAAAGATCTAAAAATATTCTACAGCGGATAAGGTCCATTGATGGGGAAAATGGTAAATAAATCGTTTCTATAAAAGATGATTTTACACCGGGTGGGTCTAGTACTTCATTTGAGATCGATTTTAAAGCGCAGTTTTTATGGAAATCTGAACTTTACTTCCTAGCTGGCTAAGATCTGCTTTGTTTCTTTACAGAGTCGACCTTTATTTTGGCAATTTTCTTTGATTTTAATACTTGAATTACATTTGTTCCTTTATCTAAATGATAACCGCAAACTCTCTGTTCACACGGGAAAAGTATAATATTTTGAAAAGTAATTTGGGCATATTTTTAAAATCAAAGGTGCTCGTAAATGAAAGAAACAAACAACGGTCATTTTTGCACCCACAATCCTTCACAAAAATTATGAGACCACTGTGGTGAAAATATGATTTTCGCTCCCCTCCCCCCTACAGAGCAGTGTTGCTCCCGTTTGAGTTGAAATTGTGTAGCACAATGCTTGTAATAACTGTCAACATTGTTTTGAAGGGGGAGGGGGGAATGACGAGCTCCTGGTGGTATGAATTTGCTGATTT